TGCCACTGACACTGCTCACCCTTGTATGTTAGTTCAGGTGACCAGACTGGAGGAGCAGTTAATTGGATGGATTGTCCAGCAAGAGGTTTGTCAGTCTGGTCTCCCTAATCAACCGATGATAGCTCGGCTGAATCCTCATCGACTAGGCGCCGCTCGATTTGTGCCGGTCTTGGTCTTTTCTTGGACCGACCAGGAGCTTGTTCACTAGCAAGAGCCAGCACCGGTCTCTTGCCTAGCACGGTTGGCTTGGAGGATTGACCCCGAGCAGCTTCCGCAGGCTGAGAGTCACTCGGCTCGCCTGTAATCATCGATTTGATTGCGCAGATCTTGGCCATCTTTTGTTTGGCAGTTAAGGGAACTAGTCTGATCGGCGAGAGAGTTGGGTCTGGTTCTAGAGAAGGAGCACGAAGAAAATCGGTGACCCTGCTCTTGCGCAGCACAGTATGCCGGTAACTCGGTTCGAAACCGAGCAGTTTTCTAGCTTCACGCTCCTCGATTGGACGCCGCAAAGCAACTCTTATCGCCTCTTGGTTAGCGTTGGAGTAATCATCTGCCAAGAGCTTATAATCTGCAAAAATGAAGCAAGGGTTAGATCGGCAAAGGCAATTCAAATTCAAAAAAGATTAAACCGCGCTATGATGCTCACCAACACTCCCAAAATTTTTATGTATGTACCAGCCTGGTATGGGTGCTTCGATGTCTTCGTAATTCCCAGACACCCACGCAAGAAGTTATCATCATTCACCTCTTTGTCTGGATTGCCCTCTATGAGCTTTGTTCGGCCCTTTCTAACCTTGAGGTACCAGCAGAAGCCTCATTTATTTTTACTAAGTATATATTGGTGGAATATCTCGGCAAGACCGAGATTCAGACCCAGTATCCTATTCAGCGCGGCCACACTGTTTATTATTTTGTATGTATTGTTGGAGACTTGGGTGGGACACAGCCTAGTTTGCCTCAAAAAATTGTAGACCGGGGGTTGGACTAGGAAGCGCAAATCGCCTTCCACAATAGACACAACCGTGAAGGGGCATTTGTCCAGCTCGCCCCAGGGAGTGTCTCCCTTCTTGGCCAGTTCCAGGTGGACATCATCTGGAATGTTGTACTCTCTACAGAATTCAACCATTGCCCTAAGAGAGCTAACCATAAAGCGGTATTTCCCTATCTATCCTGGTTTTATTTTGTAAAATGAACTGACTGTAGCTCGGTCAACATTGAGCTACTCAAGTTATTATTTGCTCGGTCTTTGAGTCTCACTGATGTGATGTCAATGTGTGCCTGGTCAGTCCTAGTTCTGCATTATTAAAAATAAGTGCAAGTGTTAGCATGGAAACGAGTGCACGGCTCCCAAAGGCTTTCGTGTGCTAAACTCTGACATGGTTTGGATTTTAGACCAGTCGTGAAGCCTAACATGTTAGGCCGATTTGTGGCCAAGTCCTAATCGCTTGGCGTTTACCTCGGCAGGATGATCCACCAAGTTTTAGCGCAGACGATGTCGCTCGGAAGATCCACAAACCACTTTCAGTTCGACTCAATCCTATTTGAGGATCTAGATTGGGACCTAGCTCGATTTTTCTCAGATATCAATGTGTTTATCTTAAATTTGAGGCTATACACAGAAGCTAAGAAAGACAAGGGGCACGATGGCCCCATACATGTTCTGGGTTCCAGTTTTACTTAACTTCTACAGACGCCTATGATTTTTCCCCATGAGAGGAGCATTGACAGCATATCAATGGTTCCAAAAAAAGAAGAACACGAAGAACACAAAAATGGTGATGAAAGTAAGAGGAACTTACAGATTTGAGTACCAAATCAGGCTCCAATCTACCTCGACCTTCGCTGTGATGCTCGTTGAGATGGAAAACTCTGGAAATAATGCGAGCGAGGGTGATAACAGTGGCGATAATGGCGGAGAAGGCAGAGACTCAAAGGGTTGGGGGTTTCGCTCAAGGAAGATGAGCAGTGATAAAGGGGAAGGGGCACACCTTTCGTATATATGAATGATGCGAAAGGGCGCCAACTTTTCAAATTTCGGAGATAATGGGACAACTATAGGAATGCACAAAACTAGTTAGGGAAGGCCACGTGGCATTGAAAAGATGGTTTGTCAGTACGGCTGATTGATCGATGACAAGGCGACTGGCACAAGCCTCAATAACCGACCAAATTGGATAGTTCGGTCAGAATAGTAATCCCAATCACATTTAGCTCGGATGGGATTAAGGGGCAATTGAGAAGGAGATTTGCACCGAACGACTGGCCGACCTATACCAACATTGGACATGGTGTTAGGCCTCGAAAGGAGAGCTTGAGGCGCTGAGACCAAATTGGATCCGTGTCGAGTGCGGCAGAACGTTAAGAGTGACCGAGATACGTTTGGCCGAGCTAAGGCATCAAGGAAGATGAGCAGTGATAAAGGGGAAGGGGCACACCTTTCGTATATATGAATGATGCGAAAGGGCGCCAACTTTTCAAATTTCAGAGATAATGGGACAGCTATAGGAATGCACAAAACTAGTTAGGGAAGGCCACGTGGCATTGAAAAGATGGTTTGTCAGTACGGCTGATTGATCGATGACAAGGCGACTGGCACAAGCCTCAATAACCGACCAAATTGGATAGTTCGGTCAGAATAATAATCCCAATCACATTTAGCTCGGATGGGATTAAGGGGCAATTGAGAAGGAGATTTGCACCGAACGACTGGCCGACCTATACCAACACTGGACATGGTGTTAGGCCTCGAAAGGAGAGCTTGAGGCGCTGAGACCAAATTGGATCCGTGTCGAGTGCGGCAGAACGTTAAGAGCGACCGAGATACGTTTGGCCGAGCTAAGGCAGAACACGTTGTCAAACCGAGCTTGGCCCACGTAAATTATGGTGTTGGGCCGTGCTTAGACGAGTGGGCCCATAGATCAGATTGAGGTTTATTTGACTGAGTTGTGTGTGGCTCGAACCGCGAATATAGAAATAGGTAACCCTTGAGGGTACGATGGGAGGACGAGACGCCAAGTGTCGCGCCCCGCGGCTTGTCAGCTTTGATCGGTTCGATTTAGCTCGGCTATAACTATCCATTGTGATGTTTGTCTCCAAGTGATAGCTCGGTTGTGTAAGTTACCAAGACCAATGATAAGAAAAGGGAAATCAACTCCTGGTATGTGTCAATACCGTTTAGCTGTTCGACAAACACTGTTTGGAGGTTTTGGCCTCTACATGTGTAAGAAAGGTAGAGGAGAGCACAGTCGTCTGCCCAGAGAAGGACAGTAGAGGTAGTGCGCCCACAATCTTTGTGGCTGCATGGCGAGCCTAGAAAAAGGAGGAACATGGAGACGTTAGTAGTAAGCAACCTGAAAGTATTTCGAATTCTCTCTCTCGTGAGTGCTCTATTCATTCTTCCTCTCCAAGTGTGCTAACTTGATTATCGGAGGGTTTATCCGGCAGCACACTGCCAGGTAGCTTACCGTCTTTCTGTTCTCAAGTCAAGCAACGCCACGTGAAGCTTAGATTCAAGGCGTACGGAGAACGGAGAATATTTCACCCCCATACAATATGTATATTTTTAGTTATTTCTTTTAAGAGTTTTGAGGGGTGACCATTGGTTCAATGGTTAAGACTTAGCTTAATAACCTTGAGGTTATGAGTTTAAGTCTTAGGGTAACTACTTTGAGCATTATGCCAAAGGTTAAGTGTTTACTCAATCTTTTCTCTCCCAAACACACATTAATGTGTACTAATTTGGCCTTTTTTTTTTCTTTTGAGAGTTTTGGGCTTTTGTTGTAGGGTTTTTGAATTCTTGACATACAAGATACATAAGTAATGTTTAAAATTCTTAATGGGTATTATATTCATTGTTGTCCTTTATGGTAATTATACAAATGGTGTATAACATAACCCTTTGTCCTTTGTGGTCATTTTATCTAAGGTTAAAATTGTAATAAAAAAAATAATTAATATTGTGTCTTGAGATGAAAGGTGGTATGTAAATAGAGGCACCCACCCTCACCTCACTCGTTTTTTTTTTAATTCCAATTTTGTTTCAATCAAAAATTCCACTTTTGCCCTCATTCCTATTCTTCTAAACCTAATTTTCCAAACTCTAACCTAACCCTAATCACCTCAGGCAATACCACCATCTCCGACCACCTCTTACCGCCACAACTACCACCATCTCTAACCACCCCTCATCACTGCAACCTCTACCATCTCTGACCACTCCTCACCATCACAACCACCACTTTAACCATCACCTCCACCAACAAGCACCCTCATCCCCTATTACAAATCTAAATCAGAGAAGAGAGATCAACTCATTCAGCACTGTGTTATTGAACTAAAAGGATTTGTTTAGTACTATATTTTTGAACATTCAGGATTCATTCAACACTATGTTGCCGTACATTTAGAATTTGTTCGACATTGTGTTGCCGAACACACTCCGCCATCATGACCTCCCTGTCCATTGCAAAAGAGAATGAGTGAGAGCGAGAGAGAAAGATGAAAACCTAAACTTTTCAAAAGAAGATGACGAAGAAAAGAGAGAAGAGGAAGAATAAATGCAAAAAATCACTCGACATAACGTATGATAAAAGTTTTAATGATGGCCATTGTTGATGGGTCTATTATTGATGGGTCTTTTCTGTTGCTCTGTTTCTCACTCATACTTGATTTAAATGCAAGAAAACAAAGAAAGAATCCAAATTAGAGAGAGAAGCGAAAGGTGCTAGGGTTTGGTTTTGGGATCAGTATATAACTGGTATTAAGGTCGGGGTTTAAAGAAAAAATTGTAAAGATTTCATTTTGTTGAGTGGAAATTTAAAGAAATAGGTGGGCCAAAGTAATTAGGTTGGGATAAATATCAACCCTCTTGATAAATTGATTGGAATAACTTAAGGTGACTAGGATAAATTTTGAAATTTTAAAATAATTTTCATATAAATTTGATTCCCCCCCCCTAAATTATGGTGTTGGGCCGTCCCCCCCCCTCATTTGCAATAATCTTTCTAATAAAAATGACTATTTCAGATTTCATAAGAAAGTTCAAACATAATCTTACATCTTACTTCCCAAAAAACAAAATGAACGAAAAACAATTATGAAAATATCATCACCATTTTTATCTGTCTTCAGAATTGTTAACGAGAACACTTCAAACATTTTCCAGAAAACGAATACACAACAAAATAAGCCTTAATTACTTATCAGAAAAAACAAATAAGACAAAACAAGCACTAATCTTTTCTAAGTTCCATCTCCTCACGACGAACACCATCAGCATTTAAAATGACAATTTCCAGCCTGTCCCCCTGCAAAACATACAAGGAATGTTTAGAAAGTAAAATAACATAAAAATAATACAACAGGGAACTACATAGCTGAAAGAGCTAATATTCGAATCCAAGCCTACTTATAAATGCATCGCTCACTCGCAACAGTGAAGAAACCTGATATTAATATGCAAGGATTGGAAAGGAGAATCTAATATGACTTCAAATTATCCCCTCAAGAAGAAGAGGTGAGGAAGAGAAAGGGGGAATCTAATATGGCTTCCAAAACCTAATATTCATAATGAGAAATGAAGGCTCACAATAAATAAATAAATCCTTCTACATTCAGTTTCTAATATCCATCTAATTAATTTGCTCGACAAAATTTCAATTTTCGTCTCAAGAATTTTTTTATTACATGCAACAATTTCCCATTTGTTTCTTTCTTTTCACATATCAAAACAGTCCCTTGGAGTGTTATCAACAATACATTTCAAGGGCTGTTTGGATAGCTTATCGAGTTGATTATAGCTTTTCTTATTTTGGAAATCTGTGGCAAAGTTGGTATAACTTCAGCTTACAACTTATGAGACATGGGTAAGCATGGTTCAGTTGGTTCAATTATGGAGTAAACCAAGAACCAAACCACTACCTAAAAAAGTTCCATGAAATTTGAAACCAAGTCAAACCATGAAAATCTTGGAACAAAATCAGACCGAACCAGTAAAACACGATTTGGTTTAGTTTGAAACCACGGCTTTTAGAAACCTTGTCATTATTCAAAACATGATCACAAAAATGAAGAAATATTTAAACATTAGCCATCATGAAAGAGGGAACCAAAAATATGAATGTATAATAAAGATGAAGCAGAGAAGCAAGAACTAAATTTGATTTTTCAGTCTAATTTTCCTTGTGGTCTCAGGAAAAAAATATTAATGTGTTTTGTAATTTTCCAGTGTATTACACATTTATGTTAATGGATGAGATTGCTTAGTGGTGGTTCTGCTGCACAGCTTTAAAATTCCAGATAATGTGGCATAATCTTCATGTTCGAGATTTATAAAAAAAAGAAAGTGAAAGTGATGCAGCAATGGCACAGAAGCTTACAGTGCATATATCCCTCTCTGTCGCAGATGCAAAACAAGTCTTCACCAAATCAACTGCTTCAGACTCTGACAGCGGCGTAACAGCATCCTGCATAGTCATTTGGTTAAACCTAAAGCAAACCAACTAAGCCTTGTATCCCAATCAAGTGGGGTTGGCTACACAAATCCTTTTTCGCCATTTTGTTCTTTCAAGAACTTTTTTTTTTTTTGATAAATGTTCTATCAAGAATTTATATGCTTAGTTAAATTAAATATATTCATATAATTTTTCACTACAAAGTAAAAGTTGTGGAAGAAGATTTGTGAATGAACAATTAGAGCTAAAACCAGACCTGGGCAGGTAACAAGAGAGGGCTTGGAGACTTCAGCTGGTTGTCCAAAAAAGGCATGATGAGTGTAGACCCAGAACCTTGGGAACTGTATCCAACCCTCTCATAGGAGCCAACAGCATCATATGTGAAGACACAACCCTTACCTGTAGTATTTCAAAGAAATATGTAATGTTAATATGAAATAGAGGGATAAAAACTGCACCAAAAAATTCGCACTTTTTACCTTCATTATCAAGGCCACCGAGAACATTGAAAGCATAATAAGGAAAGAAGCGCTTGTAGTAAAGGGTGTTCGAGAGCAGTTGACCCATTGCAGGACAGCTCATCTGCTTGTTGTGTTGATGCTGATAGATCTGTGTCCCAAGAAAAAGAAAAATGACACATTACTTCCAGCACATCTTTCCATTTCCTCAAACCTCAAGCAACAAACCATAACTCAGAACCAGGGAAAACAAATTCAATTTGTTAGTAATATCTCCAACAAATGGGTCTCACCAAATTTAGCATTTTATTTTCGTTGAGTAATTTAGCATACTTCATATTATTTATTTTTATAAGAAAAGTGAAAATAGAATTACTAGGGTTAAAAAATTTCAATCCTCACCAAGTGCCTAGCTGCCAAAACCTTTTGTAGAGCTCTCACATCAGCCTGAAAACCGGAGGATGCCATCATACATTTGTCTGCCCTGCAAGGTCAACAAAAACACAATTCAGATACATGGCCTTGCCATACAAGAAACTTATGCACTTGCATGCAAGAAGGAGAAGGCACCGATTATTTCATTTTTCCGTGGGTCATAACTGTTCCAACTATGAGTTAAGAGTGTAAGAAAGGTGCCTAATAGCAATGACAAGAGAACCCTATTTTGTAACTGAGATAGAAGATTGATATCAACTAGTTATTTTACACCCATTTTTAGTTTAATTCTGTGGGCAGATAATTAATGGTGCAACAACATTAACCTCTTGTCTTCCACTTGTTAACAGGAGGGTTTTATAAAAAAAAAAAACTATATACAATTAATAATCAGGTCCATGAAATCAAGATTAGATGCCTTGCATACCAAGATGTAACTCAAAGAAAAATACTGATTCTACTTTCATAATTAAAACAATCTCACACCAATCTGACTTTGTTGGGATTATCTACTTTGTAGCCCTCACTGGCTGCCAAACTACATTACATTACCTTTTCAATTGTTTAGCCGAATTTCACTTCAGTTTTCAATTTTAAAAAACTAGTCAAAAAAAAATATATATATATATGTCATCTAATTACATTGGCGGATACATGGGGGTTGCATTCTGGATCCGGATTCTCTCTGGTGAACTGAGAGAGAACACTCTCTAAATATTTATACTTCAGTCCAAACTTCTATAGTAATAAAAAAATCTCAAGCTTCATGAATTATTGCCTCAATGTTGTTTGCTTTTGAATTGGATGTCATGGTTGCTTTGTCTGTTGAAATTAATAATCAAGCCTTCCAACAAGTAGACCATAAGTGTAACCCCTCGCCCTCAATGAATATTAACTTGATTTATATCACTACTCTTAAGACCTCCAAAAAATTAAAGACAATAAAAAAATATTTATGGAAAGAAAACACACATATTTAATACATGAGTTATTTGAAAACGCATTTTTATTAAATACTTCAGATATTACAAGAAAGATAGAGTTGAATATTCCTGCTTATAAGATTATGCTCCTGATTTTGAAACTACAAGATGTAGTCCACACCATTTTATAGGCAAAAAGTGGACTTCAAATTCGAAACTGAAACACACAATTAAAACATCAGACAAGATTTGTGCAATAAGACAATTAACCTTTTACAAATCTAAATCGTTGAAACTAAAAAACAACAAATTTTTATAGTGGTATTTCCATTATGCTAAAAGATAAGAAATATACATAGTGTTATGTACACTATGTATGATCCATTATTAGTGAGTAATCCCCACTACTTTGGTTGTATTCATCATGTGAACCACTTTGTTATGTCTTCTACTTGCAAGATTTCTACACATTTTTCAAATGTGCAGATGTCCATCTCTTGCATTGAATCATAATAGATTTAGGCTTCTCTCTTGATCTTATACAGCTCTCAAACAATTAAACAAATATCTACTGCTTCAATTATTTCTTATTTAAGCACTTGGAGCATTTCCATTACCCTGAGAGCATTATGCGATTAAGCTTGAAGAAAATGTCTATTTGAAGAAAATGTCTATTTTCTTCTTTTAAAAATGCATTTCCAACCAAAAAAGATACCATCTCAAAATGGAAATTTAATAATTTATTCAATGACATTCTTTTTGGTTAAGAATGACTGGAACATTATAACTTTTATATTTCATGGTTACTGATTGATCATTTACCAATCTGAATACAATGAGATTTTTAAATAGAACCCATTTTTTTGAAGGTAGAACTTCAAGTTTTCTCAAACTATATGAAGCACCAGTGTCAACTAGTGCATTAATAGTGCAAGAATGATAACCTGGAAATTTGAAAGATTATTCAACATATGAATTTGGAAGACTACCTTCTACAACTTTACTAAACATCTCTAGAATTTTTTTACACCCCGTCTTCATTATTTTTTAGAATTTTTCATGATCAGATAATCCTTTTTCCATGAACTGTTTATTATTAGTGATAGCTAGACTAACTATACAAATTATTTTAGGTTTAGTTATTATGATATCAATGATTTTATGATATTATAAAGATTTTTTTGTAATAAGGACACTTATTCTTTTTATAAGATTACAAGCAATATATAAAGCCAAACACCCCTAAGTTAAACTCAACCTAGGATACTTAAAACCCAACTCCAAACATGCCTATGGGTGTAACCAAACACCACCCATCTCTAAGACCCCAAAAAGAAAAAAAGGAAAGCCGAATTTTTTATTTTTTTTCTTATGTTGATGGGTGGTGTTTTCAGTACACCCATAGTATGTTTGGAGTTGGGTATTAGGTATCCTAAGTTGGATTTAACTTATGGGGGTGTTTGGCTCTATATATTGCTTGGAATATTATAGTTTTGTATCATATTATTCCATCATCTGAACTTTCTTCCATAATAGATTCTACCATTATAGCCATATATTCGTTCTTGGTTTTTGCAGACTACTTGTAGAGTTAGATCTTAAGATCACTAATTGATTTTCGTCTAGATTTTTCTAGATAAACAACACATTTTTTCTTGAATTGTTAAATTCTCCAGATTTCTATAATCTGAAGTTTCTCCAATAACCCATTTCCTAGGTTGATAATTGTTTTACATTAACCTTTCTAGATTGACATTTTTTTTGTACGACATGAGCACTTATTTTTTCAAACTACTCTATTTCCAGTACAAGTTTACTAAAGGATTAACTACATCAACCACTATATATAAACCTATAGTTAATAGCAATGTTTTTGCTTCTGGCATCAAGGCCACTCATACCTTGAGTTTGTATTTCTAATTTGGTTTGGTAACGAACCAAATTGGTTCATTGTACAAATTACTTTGAACTACTCCTATTAAGGTTTTTTCAAAGCTAAACCATCTACTATCCATAACACAATTTAAACATCGTTTCTGCTTGAAAATAGACATTGACTTGTATAAGTTATAAATGAACATAGTTATATTTGATACAGTGATATTGTCTAATTTTATTCATATCAAACAATGATATATGCACAAATATTCCTTCTGTATTACTAGTAAAATTCTTTCTTCAAAAATTTCTATTTTACTTTGATTTTAAAATTTGAATTTTTAAAGATTTCATTAATATGAACCTTAAGAGTCTTCCAATCGTTTAAGGAAAATTCTTATTCTTCAGTTTCAAATGATTCACTTCCTCCTGTATCAAGAAAATGAATGATTTCAAGAGACGAACATATGCATATTTGAAAAATAAGCAAGAATCTTGCAAATGGAAAACGCAACAAAATAGGTCACATGTAGAATGAGACCAGACTGACCACTCAAAACCAACCAAAATTTATGTTTTTAGTTTGTTTTTCATCACATACAGTATGTTTCAATTTTGAAATTTTTTACACCGATATAAACCAAATCAACCGAAATATTATATTTAAATACGCTTATACATTTTAATTCTTTGAGTATTAGATTACAAATGTGACCAATATAATACACTTTTTGTGATAAAAATTAAGTAATGAAACATTTATAGAGCAACTTTCTTACTCTTTTTCTTCATTTATTCTCAATATAAAATTTTATGAGTTTTTATAAAACCCTTTAAAACCTCATATGAATTCTTCTCTAGATCAAACCAACAAGCCAAACCGTAGCATACAGTCTATGTCGGTTCCTCAATCATCAAAATCAAAAGGTTTAGCTCGGTCTAAACTTTCTTTTAACACTGACCAAACCGAACCATTTACACACCTACTCACATGATGAATAAAGCCAAAGTAATAGAAATACCCACTAATAATGGATCAGACATAGTGTACATACCACTATGCATGTTATCTTTTAGTATACTGGTGATACCACTATAAAAGTTTATTATCTTTTAGTTTCAATAATTCATATTTGTAAAAAGTTCATTGTCTTGTTATAAAAATCTTATCTTAATCTTTTAATTGTGTGTTTTTCAATTCCAAATTTGAAGTCCACTCTTTGCATATAGAAGAGTGAGGATTGCATCTTGTAATATCAGAGTCAAAGAGCAAAGTCTTACAACCAAGAGTGTTCAGCGCTATTTTTCTTGTAATCTCTCAAGTATTAAATAAAAGTGTGTTTTCATTTATATAAGGTAGTAATATAAGAAAGCCAATATTCACTAAGGGTGAGGGGTTACACTTACTATCTATTTGTTGGAAGGCTTGTTTTTTATAATTACTATAGAATTTCAGACTAAAGTATAATTATTTACAGAGATTTCTCCATCAATTATCCAGAGAGACTCCAAATCTACGGTTAAATTATCCACAAGATATTGAGAGGAGGAATACGGGGAGAGGATCTTCTTCCAACTTGGATCCAGATTCTCAAGAAAAGTGAAAGGATTTGTAACATTTAAATTGGAATCTACGCCACATGTAATTTGGAGGTTAAAACCTCAAATAAATCATGAGAAAAGGAATATGGGGAGAGGACCCACTTTAGTACGGTCAAGCGCCATCAGCCCCCCAAACTTCAAAAAATTGGCATTAGCCCCATACGATTTTGAATAATTAAAAAAAAAAAAAAAAAAAAAAAAAAAAAAAAGAGCATATTGCCCTTCTCACAAACTATATCATGTTACTTTGGCCCCTCCAAAATCTAAATAACTTTACCTAAGCTCCCCCTCCTTTGTAAAATTTCTTCTGGGTGTCCAGTGAATCATCAAATTTCATAACATTAATCCGAAAAGTAATTCCCACATCAAAATTTACTTGATCTAAACTACAATTCAGAATAATAAGCATAACCAGTAACATTGCTCAACCATATAGATCAAATCACCTAAGAGAAATACAATAAGCATAAAAAAAAACAACAACAAAGAGAGCGTACAGTTTACAGATCTTGGAGTAATCGCGAGAGAGAATACTGTAACCAGTCGACATCCGAGTATCGGCCGCAATCACACAGTAATCGGCACCTGCGATAGCAACGCAAGTCCTGCATATACATTATACACAACAATACTACAAATCAATAGTGAAAAATAAATATTTATCTAAATATATATATATATATGGAGAGGAGAGAGAGAGAGAAAGGGGCTCACCCGCCATTGTTATCGTAAGGTGACCATCTAGCGTGTTGCTTTGCCATTGTGATGAGAGAGAGAGAGAGATATTAGGGCTTTTGCAGAGATCAAAAATGTAGTAGATCTGCTGGCTATTCATTTCTTTCCTGCCTCTCAAGACAGGGAAAGGCCACGTAAAGCGGCGTCGTTTATCCAGAAGTACTCCCTAGACCCTAGTTTACATTTAACCCGGGCTAGCTAACTCGGCTGGTATAAGCGGATTCCAGTCGGGTTAGTTGAGTTTGGTTGGGTTATCACTAAAAATTTGTGTGGAGCTGGCTCGTAGTATACATAAATTAAAATTGAATATATTTTAAAATTTTATTAAGTTTTTAAGTTAAAACAAATTAAAAATTGAATATATTTTAAAATTTTATTAAGTTTTTAAGTTAAAACAAATTAAATGAAAACGAAATTTGTTAAATTTTTTACTTCATTTGTTTCCACGGTAATTTTACTCTTATTCGATGGCTACTAAGCCTCCGTTTGGGAAGTGGGTTGACTTTTTGGCTTTTTAACTTTTTGGCTATTTTAGCCTGGTTTGAGAAGGACTTTTTGGCTTTTTTGTGAGAGAGGATTGTAATGATTATAGGTTGGATTTGATGTTTTGTTTTTTGTGGCTAAAATAGCCTATTTTATTTTTTGTAGCTATTTTAGCCAAAAAAGCCTGGCTTTTTTCTTCCCAAACGGAGCCTAAATGTCTTTACTTTTATATTTTGGACTCTCATTTCTTTGTCCTCCCACCACTAAAATGCATTTCTTTATTTTTCTTTGAACTCTGACCATAATTTCAAATATACCCTTTAAATCCCACCGCTATATCTTCCACGTTCAACTCCTCCTTCATTCATCCAGCTGTTCCTTTTCCACTCTAGCAACTCTCCCTCTGATCACTCAACGGTGTGTATGTGTGTATAAATTAAATGTATAAGTAAAATAAACAACAAAATAAAATAATTCAGAAAATAATTATGTAAATTAAATTCCAAATTAAATGCTTATGGAAATTAAAGTTGAGGCTTGTATTAGACACAATCTCGTTAAAGTAGATTTTGCCCTCGCTCCGGTACTTCGAGTTTTAGCCGACGTCTACTTCCCAGAATACAACGACTAACACTTGAATTTGCATCACTACAAAAACAAGTCTGGCGAACCAAATTATGTTGTAACTCTTTCTCTTTCTTTTCCTAAAAATAAATGTAGAAGCAAATGTTGTAGTGTAGGAGGACAAACTGAAGAAGAAATAGAAGAAGTTTTGAATTTTTTTTATTCAAATGAATGCTGGAATGGCAGGGTATATATAGAAAAATTGGTGACTATTTGAACAGGTACCAAATAGATAGAAATCTATTCTGACAGATTGAATAGATACGGTTTGAATTTCAACAGGTAGAAAACATGTTCGGGTGGAACTCAACAGGTAGAAAACCTATTTGAACCTTTTGAACCTGTTCAAGTGGGTTAGGATCTGTTTGGGTGAAGGAAAATTTTGACCAATTTATTTTGAATTTTAAAACCAAAACAAAAAATAAATAAATAATTTACAAATGTTTTTGGCCCAAAAAGATAAGTATTGGGCCGGACAAGCCCAACCCAACCTCACACCACGAAACCGCGCCCAGGCCCGACCAAGCCCAACCCGCCCCACTGACTGGACAGACGGCGGCGCACATGTATGGTTTTAGTTTTGGGTCCAATGGGTCTAGCTTACTTTACCCATAATCTCATTCTTCCACAAACTTGGGTACCCCTTGAGGCCCATTCCAAGTATCCCAAATTAAGGTATATAAACCCATTCAAAACCTTAAGCTTTTCCAATGTGGGACAAACACATTTCACAAATATGTAGTAAACCCACCTAAATTCATTTTCACGAACACAAAAATGTGTGTTGAATTCTCATTCATCCAAAAATTGTTTTGAGCAACTAAATATACGATGTTATTCACTACGCGACATTAAACGTGAACTCAATGAAAAACGTTAAAAATAACGCTTGGGTCACATCTTAATTTATGCTCAAAGTTAGCAAAAAATAAGAAATTTTCAAAGCCATTTTTCCAACAATCCCCCATATGAATGGAATTTACGAAAATGAACATGCAACAAGATACAGACAAAGAAATAGTACATTAAAAAGATATACGACATCGAGATAGGTAGCTTTTGGCTTTGAACCTCCTCTAGTGAAAGCCTATTAGACTTACTAACTAACTAGTGGACGTGATGCCTTGAACTATTCAACTGTTTGTGTAAGCCAAGACAATATACTACATATTGTGTATCCAAAGACATACGGTTGTGTTCATTTTGGCCCTGAACAACACCTGGTAATTTATGAGTGCTCGAGAGAATTTAGCCTTCTCAATTCTCACAGAATCAGCCCAGTTCACATTCATATAAGTGATTTCTTATTAAAAGTATCCTGCTATACCCCACTTGGATGTCCAAGCTATAAGAATCATTAAAAATAAAGTTTATCCTACTAACGCTGCAGGTAGCATTCTTCTTATCATAGAAATGGGTCGAAGTAAACCTCCTTAGTGATACATGAAGTCATCCATAATTCGATTGTCTCTTTGAACCTAGATCTTGGGATCTCCAGTCAACTAGGTTGGGTTGCCATTATGGCGACTTTTAAGTAATAGGCTTTAATCACATTCCCTTCGATATATGGTACACTTGCTCTCTGGCTAGCCCTTTAGTCAATGGATTCGCAATATTCTCCTTTGACTTTATATATTCTATGAAAATTATTTCATGTGAAAGCAAATGCCTAACGGTATTATGTCTTCGACGAATGTGTCTAGACTTACCATTATACATATGATTCTGTTGCCATCCTATTACTGCTTCACTATCACAGTGTATGTATATAGCTGGCACAAGTTTAGGCCATATTAGAATGTCTTCTAAGAAATTACGAAGTCATTCTGCCTGTTCTCCTGTTTTATCTAATGTGATAAACTCATATTCCATAGTTAACCTTGCTATGTATGTCTGCTTGGAGGATTTCCAAAATACTACAGCACCTTCCAAGGTAAAGACGTATCCACTAGTGGATTTTGAGTCTTTAGTATCCGATATCCAACTTACATCGTTGTACCCCTCGAATACTGCTGGATATTTGGTATAATGTAAGCCATAATTCCGGATATGTCTTAGATACCTAAGTACCCTAATTATTGCTTTCTAATGATCGGACCTTGGATTACTTGTGTACCTACTTAATTTGCTTACAGCATAGGCTATATCTGGCCTAATACAATTTATTAAGTACATCAAGCTTCTGATTATCCGAGAGTACTCTAATTGTGATATGCTTACACCTGTATTTTTTAACAAATGAAGACTACTGTCAACAGGTGTTTTAACAGGACAGTCATCATGCTTTCCAAATTTCTCCAGAATCTTCTAAACATAATGAGACTAAGATAAAGCATATCCTTCAGATGTTCTAGTAATTTTTATTCCTAGAATTACATCTGCTACTCCCAGATCTTTCATATCAAACTTTTTTTTCAACATTTTCTTTGTAGATTTAATCATGTCATTATTGCTTCAAATAATGAACACGCCATCTACATAAAAACAAACTATGACATAGCTTTTGTCTGTACTTTTAACATAGACGCATTTGTCACATTTGTTTATCTTAAAACCATCCGAAAGCATAACGTGATCTAATTTTTCATGTCATTGTTTCGGAGCTTGTTTTAATCCATAAATGGATTTGACAAGTTCACAAATGTTTTTCTCTTGGTTGGGAACTTAAAACCCTTCTGGTTGTTCCGTATAGATTTCCTCATCTAACTCGCCATTCAAAAAAGCTATTTTAACATCCACTTAATGTATTTCCAGATTATACAAAGCTACAATCGCAATCAACATGCGAATAAATGTTATTCTTGTCACCGGTGAATAAGTGTCAAAATAATCAAGGCCTTCCTTCTGTCTGTATCCCTTAACAACAAGTCTAACCTTGTATTTATCAATTCAACCATTTGCTTTTCATTTTTCTCTTGAATATCCCCTTATATCCAAGAGGTTTACACCCTGGTAGAAGATCTACCAGTTCCCAAGTATGATTTTGCAGTATTGATTCAATTTCACTATTCATAGCCTCTCTTCACAATGGAGCTTCAAGACTTGACATTGCTTTCTTGAAGTTTTGACGGTCATTTTCTAACAGGTATGTCAGAAAATCTGAACCAAATGATTTAGAGATCCTAGCTTTCTTACTACGTCTAGATTCATCTGCTTCATTATCATTGTGGTCTTCACTACTATCCATAGCAGTGTCAAAAGTTCTTCTATTTGAACTTTTCTCTCCAGTTTTCTTGCAAGGAAAAATGTGTTCAAAAAACGACACATTTCTTGACTCAATAATAGTGTATACATGCATATCAGGAATTTCAAATCTATGAACTAAAAATCTTTATGCACTATTATTATTTGCATAACCAATGAACACACAATCAACGATTTTTGGGCCTATCTTAGTTGTTTGGGATTAGGGACTACCACCTTAGCCAAACACCCTCACACTTTGAGGTAATTATAGGTAGGTCGTCGACCTTTCCACAATTCATAAGGTGTTTGATTAATTTTCTTGTGGGGGTACCCTGTTAAGGATAAAGTTAGCAGACAAAATCATCTCTCCCCACAAGTTTTGAGGTAACCCTGAACTAATCAACATGGCATTCATCATCTCTTTAAGAGTTTAATTCTTTCTCTCAGCAACTCCATTTGACTGAGGAGAATAGGGTGCAATGGTTTGGTGAATAATACTATATTCAGAACAAAATTCCTCAAATGGTGTATCATACTCACCACCTCTGTCATTCCTCACTATCTTAATAGTTTTGCCAAGTTGATTTTCAACCTCAAGTTTATATTGCTTAAAAGCTTCTAAGGCTTCATCTTTACGTCTCAATAAGTAAACATAGCAATATCGAGTGCAAAGTAATAAAGTACTTCTTACCTCCTCTAGTTTGAACAAATTTTAAATCACAGATATCTTTGTGAATTAAACTTAGAGGTTCAGTACTTCTTTATACTTTATTAAATGATGCCTTAGTGAGTTTTGACTCAACACAAATCTGACATTTATGACTAGGATCAAATTCTAAGTTTGGTA